GCAAAAGTACTCCTTCAATATCCCACTTACCTTAAAGGCCCCATTAGGATCACTATAAGTTGGTTCCAGCTTGATGGTGCATAAAAACAAGATATTAGTAAATAACAAATGGTACCTACAAAATAGGATCACTATAAGTTGGTTCCAGCTTGATGGTGCATAATAGGATTCAGGTAGTAAATAACAAATGGTACCTACAAAAGTTCTGCACTAGGGAGCACTTCGGTATATCAGCAAACCTGACTTCTTCCATTCCATTATTTTTCACCTCATGTAACTGCCCCCTCAAGTGTCTCACCAAACTTTCCTCCCATAGAGTTTCCTTGTGCAGAGGGCAAAATGCTGTAACAAATGAGGTTTATTTAACTTGGATTAAATGGGAGTACAAACAAATAATGTCAACACCTAACAGTCCCTGCTCACTGCCTAAGCAGATACCTTAGCTGTGTTCTTGGACGGTGCTAACCCACGTTATCCCAACATTTGTAGAATGCACCAGAGGTGCACTGTACAAGGGGTTCCACAGCAGGGATAATTTGTGGCTAAACAGACATTCTGCCAGTCGGGCATGTCCCCTTGACACTTGTTTCCCAGTTGCCTCCTTCCACTTCCAGCAGGGTTACATGTACTGGCTGTGGGTGTTGGGTATCCACCTTGGCTGTCTCTGGAGGAGACCCAATATTTCCTATTTGGTCTTTGGCTCTCCAGTGCCTCTCTCACTGTTCCGCTCGGCCCAAAAGGAGGATTTCTTTGGTGGCTTGGTCCAGCACACTCATTCTGCTTCCTCTTGAGGCACCCACAACTCGACAATTTCTCTATCCATGGATCCTCTCTCTCAACCGGTTCCCAGTACTCCTGCAGGTTCTTGGCAGCATTACCTCCAGCCTCTGCCTGATAGGCCTTCCTCTCTGGCTCTTCCCTAGCCTCTTGCTAGCAGTCCATTTTCCTCCTCTCTCTCCTCCTTTTTATGCTCCTCCTCTAGAACCTTCCCTCCAGTTCAATATCAGCATCTAGCTCCTTCTCAGCCCCTCCTCAGTCCACCAGCTAGTTGGCCATAAAAAACTCTTTCACTCATGTGGAGAGGTAACAAGACCTGCCTGCTGGTCTTGATGAGGCTGGCAGGTTCTCCCCTCCATCCCCACACCCTGCTAATTTTCCAGCTTTCTCCTGCATTCGGAAACCACTGGATGGGTTTAGATCCTCATTGGAATGCTTTTTGAATTGTCTCTTCTGTAACTCTCAGGGTTCCCTTTACCAAGTCATTTTCTTTCAGGGGACTTTTATTTAAAATGCTTTGAGAATCGAGAATCCTTTCTCCTTCCCCCCCCTGCCAGCTGTTTCTGTTGTTAACTAGCATATCTTGGGCAGCTGTTTTGATTTCCCTCTTGTTTCCAGCTGTTAGATAATGTCCACGACTAGAGTAACAATGAGGCAAATAATTTCCAGAGCTTGGAAAAGTTACTTGTTTGGACTACATGAATCTCATAGGCAGGATCTTTTGTAAACTCTGAACATTTCTCACCTGTGACCACATTACCCTGTGTTCTTTTATTTTCTCCTTCCATTTAAAATTCTACAAACACAACAGAGCCAGAGACAGATCTGAGCGAACATTCGTTTGTTACATTGCTCAAACAATCCAAAGATCAACCTGGATGTGAGGTTGTTTGGTGTCCCCATATGATACCATGATCAAAGCTTTTCCAAAAGAGGTGTAAATTGGAGCATGTCTAGGATAATGCGAGGTCTGGAAGTCCTGAGAGGGCTCACTGAAGGAGTTAGGTGTGCTTAGGCTCTGGGGGGAAAAGAGGAAAGGCTGGTATGAGAGTTTTCCTAAAACAGCTGAAGAATTGTTATGCAGAAGATGAAACTGACTTATTTTTCTTTTGCTCTAGAGGCTAGAATAAGAACCCCTGGATAGAAACAGAACGCAAGCTGTGTTTAGTTCAATATTGTTCAGAGAAGCATCCTTCGGAGGCAGTGGATTTCACTTCATATGTTTAAGCCAACACTGCTGTTTTTCGAGCAGAAATTGCAAATTTCCCACTTGGAAGGCTGCTCTTGATCAAACATCCCTGCCAGCTCTAAACTCTTATGATTCTATGACATATTTTTAAAAGATAGCTTATGTCTTAAAAGTCACTACCTGGCTTAAGAGAGGGAGTGTCATGAGTGAGGTAAAGGGGCTGGATGTCTGTGTCACGTATTCTGAATATGTCACTTCTTGACTTGGTTGTTTCAAAAAGACACATTACAGGTCCCAGGGTCATTTCTTATGTGATATCGGATTGTTCTCTGAAAAATATGCATCTTTGCCATTCAAAATGACATCTTCCAACATATTTTTTGATAAAATCTGTTAAAATAATCTTTTATGCATTTTTTGCCTAGAACAGAATGTGGACATTCTCACTCGCTAACACTGACCTTTATCCTTTCACTAGGTGAAAAATTCTGAAGCAAATTTCTAATAACATTTTATTTTTGAATGGTAATGACAAGTAAATCATGCAGATGGTATCTAAACAGAATAAATATATAATAGATTGCTTAGCATAAGAAAATTTGTAACATACAATCCATTTCTAAACAGCAAATAAAAAGTCCCAGCTGGTTGTTGTGGGTTTTTCAGGCTCTTTGGCCATGTTCTGAAGGGTGTTCTTCCTGACATTTCGCCAGTCTCTGTGGCCAGCATCTTCAGAGGACTGGAGTAGGAACTCTGTCCATGCTCTGTTGCTGTTTGTTGGATAGTCCCAGCCTTGCTTCTCAGGAGAGGAGGCACACACATGCACCAAGCCAGTGTGCATGCGCATACTCAAGAATCACTGTGAGGACTCTTTGACAGACACGAATGGACTGAAAGTTACTTTTTTTCTTATGCTAAGTAACAAAATTTCAGCTGGCATATGATATAGTTGCTGTATTTTCCCCAATGGACCAAAGAATTATGAAATGTTACTTTGTGTGACAGAAGCATACCAATCCTACATTAGCAAGGGTTGTGTTTGTTTTGAATGTGTTGTATCTATAGAGAGGAGCTGCCCATGTGGTTTCAATAGCTTCTTCATCTGTTTGGTGTCCATAGGTATCAGGTTCCTTAAAATGGTCTAATTGTTTAGAGGCTATATTGACCCTGTATAGCAAGATAAGCACAGAGCTCCAAAAGTGGACTTCCAGGGCTGGATTTTCATTTGCAGAAGTCCAAAGGCAACGGAACAAATGGTACTGTTTCAAATGGTTTGTAGGTGGTAGTCAACCATGGCTCTCCAAATATTCTTGATACAACTCCGCTCTGCCTCACCATTGGGTATGTTGGCTAGTTATGATAGAAGGTGTAGGCCAAAAACATCTAGAGCAGCAGTTCCCAACCTTGGGTCCCCAAATGTTCTCGGACTGCAATTCCCAGAAGCCTTCGCCACCAGCTGTGCTGGCCAGGGGTTCTGGGAGTTGCAGTCCAAGATCACCTGGAATACCCAAGGTTAGGGACCACTGATTTAGAGGGCCATAGTTGCCCAACCCTGCCATATTTGAATATTTCCCAATGTAATAACTCCTTACAAGGAGATTGCTAACCCATTGTGGGAAATGATCTAGTCTGACTTTCTGAATACTATGCTAATTTTTTTTCAGGAGTTATTTTTTTATGTTTAATGGAGCATTGTGTTCAAAGTTGTGATGTACCCTGCTGTCTGAAATAGTGCCAGGCTATTCTGAGCATTAGGCAGGGTGAAGTGTTTGCCTCAGTGGCCTAGTTTTCAGTGTCCTCGAAAGGAAAAAGAGTGTTACTGAATTGATGATTATTGCATTTGTTTTATTTAATGTTTACTACCAGGGAGAGGTATTTGTGGGGAATTTCTGTTTTTGGCACCAAACAATTTTGCCTCCCTTAAGCTTTATGCACCTTTTAAAAGAGAGGTGTGATATATGTATTTTACCTCAGACTGAAAAACTGTCAGGGCAGCCCTGTATACTATGACCCATTCCACACCCTCATTCTTCTGCCTGTTCTTTTCCAGCTGAAGAAGCCACTAGAATGTGACACAAAGAAACCTTTGTTTCCTAATAATGAAAAAGCTAGAACACTTCCCAAATCTGTCTTCAGGTCTACTGAAACACTTTTACAGTGTTTACTGTCTGTCTCGAAAGTCCTCTGAGGCTTGAATGGTGTTGGTGAAGGAACATCCCTTGTAGCCTTGTTTCCTTGTATTTCTGTGATGGATTTCCCGCCTCCCTCAACCCCCATATTTTGTTCAAAGCCTTTGCTGTCTTCTTCCTGGAGTGGATAGTATAAAATGATCCCTGCAGAAAATCTGACCTGACTGCAATCCATTCCTTTCAGACATAAACAGGCTTTTTGTCAAAATCCCTCTTCCTTATCCTAAAAGAAATGAAAAGCTCTGCATAGTTAACAACAGTTGTCAATGCCATCTCTTTTATAGATACAGTATAAAGTTGATTTGACATGCAAGCTAGAAGAAACATTTCTGTGCCACTTTAAAACTACCTGATGTGCACTTTGGGCATTGTGGTTTGGAGGAATCAAACTGGAGGACCCAGATGCTTTGGAGTAGAGTTCCCATCAACCCCAGTCAGCATACGAAACATGGGTTGTCTAAGCCTAAACTCAGTTATTTATTGATCAATTTTTAAGAAGAAATGGGCAAGCTCTGGGGATCAAGGGCATTTTTCTGGTTCCAGAAGCTTCTAGGGGGCCACACCAGCCTCTCCAAACAAAACTGAGAGGAATTCCTCTAAAAAGTGAAAGAAACACCAAATGTGATTTTTGCATACCTGTTTTGTGGTTGTCTCTTGTACCAAGTCTTCCAGTTACAAAAATCTGTACACCTCCAAGATATCAGTTTTGAAAATAAGAAAGCCCATTTGTTTATTAGGCATTCATTGATTCACAAATATTTTTAAACCAGTTAGATACGAAGATTTCAGAGGAGCATACAGAAATAATGCCTACTTATTCCTGGGCCTCATTATCTTCTTTACAGACTCAGATTAGTCCCAAAGAAGGTTGGCAGGTGTACAGTTCGGCCCAAGACCCAGATGGGCGATGCATTTGCACAGTCGTGGCACCAGAACAAAACCTCTGCTCCAGAGACGCCAAAAGCAGACAACTTAGGCAACTACTAGAGAAGGTAAGTGTACACATACCTTCTGTCATATTACCTGTGAAAACACACACACACAGAGGGGGGGGAGAGAGAGAGAGGGAGAGAAACAGACAGACAGACAGAGACAGAGCATTGTGGCACCTTTAAGACTAACAGATTTCTTTCGGTGTGAATTTTGACTTCATTGGCCATTCAACAAGTGGATTTGAATCCAGTTGCAATTGAAATATATTTGTTAATCTTTAATGTTCCTCAGTCTTTTATTTTATTTTGTTTTTCCTATTGAAAACTTGCTGCTCCTACACATGAAAGCCTGTTCCTTTTTCTCTTCCTCCTCTTTGTTTCTCTCCCTCTCCCCAAAAATAACATGTTTATTTTCCATCGAAATAGTTCTGCTGAAACACTTTCTCACATTAATTTAAAAGAAAAAAATAACAACACTGTAATTAATGTTTCCCGGAGCCTACTAGGTAATAAGTTGATAATGTATTATGAAAGATGTTTGTCTGTAATTATGGGAAGGCAGAATTGGTGTCTCCATGTGAACAGTGATTGGTGATGCCTTCAGTTTCCCAAGTGTTTATTTAAAAAAGAAAACTGGGTTCAAGCAACAAGAATTGTTGTTTTTGAAAGAAATTTTAAAATGCACTGAATTTGTTTTGTAGATGCGCAATTTATTGTGTCATTTTATACATTGATTGAAAACAGAATTGTTCTGAGGGATAATAAGAGGCTCTAATGATGATTAGGCATTAGCAGCCATTTCCATTTCCCCAACTATTAGTTCCAATTATTAGTTTTCATAATCTGAAATAAAATTATGGCATTCAGTGCTGTACAGTTATGTGAGGTTTCATGGGAAGAACTGTTAGTGTGCTATGAGAAATTAGTGTACTCAGTTATTATGAGCACATGCTATGCCACAATTATCTACCCTTATAGACATCTGTTTACTGTATCGCTCTGGTTTCTCTTGCTTCCTATCCACTCCATCCGCAAAGAGTGTTCGTTCCTACCAAGCATAAGTGTTGCATGGCACAGATTCCTACCTACTAATCCAATAAACAGGAACTAAGATTGTCAAGGGAGCTGCACAGATAAGGAACTTCTAAGCTCTGAGCATAATTACAGTAGATGTTGCATCAGTTAGTCCTAAGCACTACTTGAGCGGCTTTATAGTTGGGCCTGCCATCTCACTCCTGAACCCTTTCTGTAATATCAGTGTCAGTCTGGAGCATGTGAGTCTGGCTTCTTCCTCTTAGGTAGAGCTAGAGAGTGGCTAGTCTTATGCTGTAGGATCAGAGCCTGGGGAATTTTGTTTTGGGTAGAATATTCTGCAAGAATCGTTCAGTCAGTGTGGGGAGTTGTCAACTCCTCAAAAGTAACTTTTCCAGCCTCTACAGTATGCCAGAGGGACATCACTCTCAATTCTGGACTTTTGCTCTAACTCACCATTTCAATTCTTAGGGGTGAACTGGGAGAGTCTGAAGCTATTGGGGTAGGCATAGTCAGGTGGCCCCAAATCAGCATCTTGCCTTAAATGGAGAAGGAGTACTGTGTCAAATGGCAATGGATATCCACTGACTTCCCTTGCATTCTATAGTTGCCCATTCTGTGCTATAGAATTCGATAGTATCTGATCCTGAGCTAATCTTGGCAGGGAGGTTGTATGCCATGGCTGAGATATAGAGAGGAAAAGTTGCCTTGCCTTCAGTGGAAGTTGTGTGTTCTGTCCAATTCCCTCCTCTGGGAATGTCTCCCAGGGCCGTTATACAGTACACAGCTACAAGAGTGATTCAGATAGTCTTACAGGGAATGTGTGTGTCCCTCTGCAGATAGTTTTCATGTTAGTCTGTTTCAAAATCTATTAAAAAAATAAAAAGGAAAGAGAGATGGCACCCTGAAGACTAAGAGATTTGCTTCGCTGTGTTGTCTGTGGATTACAGTCCCCTTCCTCAGAGACGTAGATAGTTGTCACAGGTCAGTATACATCATACACATCAAGCACTTGGTAGTAGCATAGGGGCCAAGCGATATGAGGAACGGTAGATTGTATTGGTAGTGAACGATCAAAGTGACAGTGGCATTATTAATAGCAGTAATATTGATAGGTAGCTGGGATAAGTGGCAATCTTTTTTTATTCATTTTCACTGAGAATAGGAATTGGAGTAGGGAGTAAAGGAGGAATAGGCATGGATAGGAAAAGGGGTAAAAGGTTCAGAGAGCTAAAGAGTATTCTTACATCCAGTTACACAATTATGCTAAAGAGGAAAATCGCAAAAAGAAACAAGTTACCTATTTTTCCCAGTGTTTCTATAGTTATTAATCTCTCCATTCCCTTGGACCCTCACATCCTTCTTTTATATATATGATGTGGTAACCTTTGATGTGTAGATGGAGCTGTTTTCAGGAAGTTGCGATGCTGTGAGGTAAAGGGAGAAAACACTTTGGCCATAGCTATATACAAGACTGTTGATAGAACCACTGTACATGCAATGTGTTATGGAATGTGCTAACATCAGGGCTCATTTATTCATCCATTTGCTAATCTGACCTATGCAATCTTTTGCTAACAGAACCCCCCTCTGTATTATATATACACAAAATGCAACAGTTACTACACAGCAGAATAGATATGATTTTCTGCCAGGAGGTACAATAGTTTTGTTACCAGCCAAACCTGGGTCCTCAGATTCTCTGGCAAGGAATCAGGCATAGACACAACCAGCTGGACCAAACACCTAATTTTATTGAATAGCAGCAAAGAAAAGGTCAGCTGGGGACTTCTTTTAAAAGCAGAGAAGACCCTGAAAATACAGTGTACAAACATTTTATAATGATATAAGCAAAGAGCCATAAAGTATTACATTTCTATTGGTCATTTGTACCCAAAGTTTGGATCTTGCCTTTCATTGAGTAGTGCTGCCAACTACGCTGATCTATTGATTCCCTATAGATACACATGTTGTGTGCCCCATGTGCCCTTGGCCTATGGCCAGGATGCAGAGGAAAGAGTATCAGTTCCTCTTATCTTTTGGTATCTTTATGTGTAGCCTTCCTGGGCCCTGATATATAGCCTTCACTCTTTGGCTCCCTGCTGTGAATGTTTTGGCCTGTCATCGTGGGTTCCTCTGCATACTAAAATCTAGTTTGATTCGGCTCCGGTATCAGTTTAGATTATCATGACAGCCTTTTATTTGCTATAATTGGCTGTACATCATAAATTTGCTGGTGCCTTACTTGTAGTGATGGCACAACATGTGTCCATAAGTGACCTGGATTTTCTTTCAAAAGACAACCTTGTTGCATTTGCTCTTTACTAAAACAACATTTTTTTTCAATTAGTCTGTGCCTAGACTGGGTTTCCCCAACACAGCACATTTAGGATGGTTTATTCTTATCATCCTCACCAAGCACAGCCAGTGGATGTGGCCATGGGAGTTGTAGTCCACCCCCCCTTGGAGAAAGCTGCTCTTGTTAGAACCCAGGAGATGTGAATCCCTGTCCTATTCAGCTGGTGGTAGTTTGAAGATCCAGGCTACCATTTTCTCTCAATCTGTTCTGAAGATCGAGAGGATTAGACTATTGAACCGCATCAAGCGCTTTCAAAAAAAAAAAGAACAAGCATTAAAATTCTTGCCAGGTTAATGCATGCTGCATATCAATTCCATTTTTTTGTTTCTTTCTCTTTTCATTTCTTCCTATCTCCTTAAATTAATAGACATGAAACCTGGCTGCATTGAGAATTTCTCTCTCCTACACCAAATTAGCAAGATACTGTTTGTCTCCTAGGAAGTGGGGGGGGCAGGGAGGAAATGAAATGAAAATACCAAACCAAAACAAAGCCATGTTCGTTAGCAAGTGTAGCATCTGCAGCTAAGCTGTGGATGCCATGAAATTGTTCTTGGTCTTTTGCCCCAGAGCCTGCAAAAGCACTTCAGAGTCTTAAACGCAGCTGGGTAGAGCAAACCATTGAGCTGAAAATGTGGACTTCCTAGCAAAGGACTATATATTTTCCCCCTCCGTTATCTTTTGATTTGTTTGCTTTTTGAAATTCCACAGAGAGGTTGCATAAAAACTGAGAAAAAGGCATATACGAGGCTGGATCCTCAGGAGAGTCCCAGTAGATACCAACCCCAGAGATCTAGGCTTTCCTTATTATTGTTCACTTGCTGCTTCAACAAGACCTTGGCAAGGTAGCTGTTTTGCAATTCCAAGGAGCTCCATGTCCTTGATTGTAGGGTCCGTAGTCCTAAAATGTGACATCACCAATCCCCAAAAAAATCTCTAGCCGCAGATGCCAGTGCCCACGAACGTTGGACCAGTGATGGATGGCTAGCTTTGCCAGGGTAAAAGACAATGGTCCATCTCTGGGAAACTGGCAGTTTACAAGACCCATTAGCTACAGGTGCTGCTCAACTTCAACCATCAGGTACAACAGTGGTCCCCAACCTTGGGCCTCCAGAGGTTCTTGGACTACAACTCCCAGAACCCTTCACCACCACCTCTGCTGGCCAGGATTTCTGGGAGTTGAAGTCCAAGAACATCTGGAGGCCCAAGGTTGGAGACCACTGAAGTACAACATTGAGAATGGGAGTAATCACATCCTCAGAAACCCAATTTGACCCAATGGCTGCCAATTTGTCTGCTAGTAAACTAACTGTAAAAGAATATTTTGTTTTATTTACTTCACACCATTAGTTATGTTTATATCCTTGTTTTATCTCCAGGGAGCTCAAAGCTGCACACATGGTATTCCTCCCCATTGTGCTCCTTCCAAACATTCTAGGAGGTGGGTTAGACTAAGAGAAGTGACTTGCCCAAAGTCACCATATAAGCTTCATGGTCAAGTCAAGATTTGAATCCAGGTCTCCACAGAAATCTGAACTCTGAACAGGCTCCATGAAAACCATTTAGAAGATTAATTTGGACCATTCTGTATAAGTTTGCCACATGTCATTCTACTTTAGTCATTACTATATGGCAAAATATTGCATTGGGTTATTCTTTTAAATACCTATGT